ACACGCTCGGGCAGGAAGCAGGTCCCGGGATGAGGCAGGGGCTCCCGATCTGCCCATGAGGTGGCAAAGCTAATTGGAATGTTTATGGTCCTTGACCAAATGGCCTTTTCTCAACCCTTTGTACATGGGGAGCTCGCTGCCTTCACCGCAGCCGGAGCCCCCAGCTTATCTGGCAGAAGTCTCGAGTGGACGCGAAGACTTCAGGAAGAAACAGAGGAGATAGTGAAGACTGATCTGGCTACACCTCTCCAGCTTGGTTTGGAAAGGGGTAAATCATCCTGCATCTTTTGGTAACTGTGAGAAGAAAGGGAACATTTGTTTTACTTCCTGTTTGGTCTCATTGACTTCTTCATTCCCCAAATAAAGTTATCTCAAAGCCCAAGCACTTAAAACCTGAGTATTTTCATCTCATATGACTTCAGGGCTCACCCCAACCACAGGAAGACATCCAGTAAAGCTCAAAGTGGCATCTCTCCGCCTGGTGGGACATCAAACCCACACAGGGAGGCACTTCTCCTTCCAGCTACGATGGAGAAGACAGATGAAGGCTAGGAAGCAATGGTGTCCAGACACCAGATGAAAAGCAACGGGGGTCTGTGATCCTGGACGGAGGGGGAATGAGAGAAGGGAGCCCTATAATCGTCCCCACCTAGAGGCAGTTTCCAGGCTGCAGAGCACAAAGGGGAAGCTCGAGAGAGCCTCATGTCTCACTGAGCAGAGAGGCAGAGATCAGGACTCAGAGAAGCTGAGACAGCCGGAATTTGGGGCTAAATACTGAAGAGGAGTGAACTACAAGGAAAAAAGAGTTCTAGCAACCAGCAATGGGTCTCTCCGGTCTTTGGCTGAAAACTGATTTTCACATACTTAAGAGAAAACTGCATAAAACCAGAAAAAGAACTACCAGAAGGTAGTAGGTCAGACACATCTGGGACCTTACCCAGAGCTGGAAACAGTTCATGTTCCCACTGGCCCTGGTGAAAAGATCTCGCACACGTGGGGCATTAAGTAGAGTCCTCGCAAGGGTCATGCCTCTACTACAGTGAGGCTGAGTTAGCCCTAGACCAGGGCTTCTTAGCCTCCACACGGTGAACATTTCAGGCTAGGTGATTCTTTGTTAGGGGCGGCAGAAGACTGCCCTGAACACAGTAGTATATTTAGCAGCATCCCTGGCCTCTCCTCAGTAGGTACCAGTAGCATCTTCCCCAAGCCGTCACAACCAAAATGTCTCCAGACTTTACCAAATACCACCTGGGGCTGAAATCATCATTTATTGAGGACCAATACCCTAGACTTTTGAGGCTGAAAAGTCTCAGGATCAGACCGTTTTCAGTAACTTCCCCTCATGTCAGAACAAAGCTCAGTGCTCTTTAACTGAATACAACAAAATCACACACATCTGCTCTGGGTCACAGTGGCCTTGGCTGGGCTGTAGGCATACGTTGGTTTTAAAAGTTCACCGTAAGGAAACAACCCAAATGTCCACTGACAGAGGAACAGATTTTTTAAATGTAGTATATACATGCAATGGAATATTATTCAGGCTTAAAAATGAAGAAAATCCTACCATTTGTGACAATAAGGATGAAACAGGAGGACATTACATTCAGTGGAATAAGCCTATCATAAAAGGACAAACATTGCATGATTCCACCTATATGGGGTAGCTAAGCTAGTCAAAATCACAGAAGCAAAAAATAGAACGGTAGTTGCCAGGTGCTGGGGAAGGAGAAATGGGGAAGTGCTGCTCAGCGGATGTAAAGCTTCAGTTATGTACGATTAATAAGTCCAAGCTCCGCCATCCAACACAACACCATGGGATTACACACTTTAAAGTATGTTAAGAGAACAGATCTCATGTTAAGTGTTCTTACCAACAAAAAACAAACAAAAAAGTAACATGCACAGAACACAGGAAATGTTTAGAGGTGATGGGTATGTGTAGAACCTTGATTGTGGTGATTGTATCATGGGTGTGTGCGTATGTCCAAACTCATTGAAATGTATACATTAAATGTGTGCAATTTTTGCATATCAGAAAAATAAAAAATAACAGTTTGCCATGATTCTTACAGTCAGCCAGAATTGAGCATCACTGCCAAATCCAAAAAAAAAAAAAAAAAAAAAAAAAGAATGCGTAGGAAGGAAAGATAGAAATGATAGAAGTTTGGGAAAATCTTAAAAAGCATGGCCACAAGGCGATTATCACATACAGAAACTTTCTCTGGCTCATCTAATGATTAAATGTATCTGAAACTATCACCTAAGAGAAGACGGCTGGATGAGACTTGACTTGCATGCCCCAGCCTGCGCCTACCAACCGAAAGTTCTCAACAATCAGTTAGGAGATGCTGGCTTATATCCACACTCTGAGAGATGTAGGCACAGCTCTGAATTCCACGTGGTTTCCCTCCCTAAGGTGGAAACCATCCCTGCTCAGCTTTAGGACTCTGGGGATGTGGCCATGCTTGCAGTGTGGACAGCGGCCAGAACTCAAACCAAGTCCCATTACTTGATTCTGGCTATTTTTATGTCTGAAGTTTATCAGATACCTACGTGGGGAAAGAAAGGCCCTTCACATACTGTGTTTTTAATCGTTTGGGTAGTTTAGAGTCAGCAGGAATCAAGGCTTTGCAAACAAGGATCTCCAGCACCCTCGCCACCCATCCTACTGATATTTCAGACAACAGGTCTGCTCTCCTGTTAAAGGTCTGCCATTCCTTCCTATTAAAAGGCAATTTAAGTAAGGGAATGAGGGTGGCTGGACCATCCCTGGAACAGAGTTAGGGACGCTTATGTCAGATGAGAAGCAGCACCTCCAAGTGGTAACACAGCCCAGGACAAAGGCCACAGTTTTAGAGAAATGCCAGTTTTAGACATTAAACAACGCAAGTGGATTTGTAGGTCCTCATGGGAGGGACTTGAAATCCATAAGGTTTTCACAAGAAACAAAATTTCCAAAACTCACTTTCACTGGAGAACCAGCTAGTTTCTTTAACTTAGTACCTTTGTGCATTGAGAGTTCCCTTTAGTGACCTTGTTCATTTCTTACCCCATCAGGTACTTTATGGTTACAGCCCAGGCAGGTTGACCCATGGTCTTGGAGCTAGTGAGAGAAAAGGAATCACCAGGGCCAAGTCTAACGGGGCCCCCGAGGCTGTTAGTTGGGCTCTATCATCAGTTCAGCTTGGAAATTGAGCAGGGGAGTTGACTTCTTCCTGGAATTCCTAATCTAAATGGTGCTGACATGCCCCAGTGGGAATAACAGGAACAGCTCAATGGATATGGAATATTTTAAATTCTGAAATGTTTGCTTCTAAAAGAGCGGAGCTCAGAAGTAAGAAGGACAGGAGGCACAGATCAATGTTGGTTTTCAAAGTTGGCCTGCCCTTGAGCAAAGTGGGCCCTGCCTAGACCACTTCCCAAATCACAGACATGGTGAGGACTGTCCAGCTGAGGGCCTGATTGCCCTGGGAGGCTCTCAGACTCATTTTAACATAAGAATTAAGACTCCAATTAGAATTAAGACTACTATCAAGCAGCAGGGACCCAACTTCCCCTTGTTGATTGTAACTGGTAATCGGGGGACAGGGCCACACACAAAAATAGCGGCAGCTGTGACTATCAGCTCACTTAAAGCTTTTGACAATCTCCTGCAAAGATGCACTTTTCCACAATGCCACCTTCAGCGTTGCTATAGGAATAAATGAAGTTTTATTCATTAAAAAAAGGGGGGGAAACACAAGAGCTGCTCTTTGTCATTTAAAATTTAAATTGGAGCCACAAGCACTTCTGTAAAATGCAAGATGGTATAATTCAACAAGTTTTTCTCTCTCGGGAGGATCGAAAACTAACCTGAATGGAAATTATACAATGATAAAATTCTGTCCCCATCCGATTAATTACTTGTGAATAATAATATCGCTGGTTTCTTTCAATTATATTCTAATTGCACACCTTTTGCTCTGGTTGATTGGGCAATGAACTAATGAACAATTATTACTGAATTTAATTAACACCATTATTCCTGTGGCCTTTATATCTCTGTTGTGAACATGGAAACTCACAATTCCAGGGCTGGAACTGGAAGAAGCCCACCTTGAACCCTGCAGAACAGGTTCTTACATTGTCCTGGAATAAGGAAGCCCAGGGTGGGGAACAAAAGATCTGCAGTCTTTGCCAACATTCATGGGAAGCTCCTAACAACAGCATCAACATTCAGAAAGGTTACCATTTCAAAAACATTGGTAATTTACATGTTACATTTTCCAAAAGCAATAGGTAAGTGAGCTATATATAGGAGTCAATTACAATGACATTCATAATTTATTCCATGTACAATAAAGATCTGATCAGATTGCATGCATGTTTACTCTCTGAAAGAGAACTGCTTGTGGCTAAAACTAGTTGCAGAATACAAATATGTCTGAGTGATGTGTTTATCTCACTTTGACATTCTAAACCCCAAAGTTCTCTTTTCTCCCCCGACAAAGTAGCTTCTGTTTAAAAATCAGAACTCACTTGCAATAAAGAAAAGGCCATTCTTACAGGCCTAGCTTATTTTAATTCGATCAAGGCAAGTCATAGATAATTTTTCTACATAACAGGTCAGGAAACAAATGGGAATTTGTTTTTTAAAGACAGATCGTTACAAACTTACAGAGCTAGGAAGATTGAACTGGCGGAAACATGCCGCCGTTTCTACTGGGGATTCTAAATGTGGATACAAATTAACTGGGTAGTCACTATTAAATGTTTGCAACTGCAGATGTGTGTCACGTGTAAATGACATTCATCCGATAGGATTCCCCCCTTCCCATATTTCAAAAACGGAGAGAAGAGATGAAAACGTCCTTTCCAAATTTGTTGGGGGAACACTACAAACAGATGATTAATTTATTAGACCAGATAAAACACCTGAATGGTCTGTATGATGAGGAGTACCTCTGTTTCTCCGAATTAGGTTGTGTGCCCACTGTTTCCCACCCGGGGTTCGGCCATACCTCGTATCGGCTAGCTGTCTGCTCAGCTGTCTTCAGGCCTTGACACATATGGATGATGCAAACTTTGGCTCTTCTCTGGGAGGGGAACCAGTTACTCTTCACGAAATCCATGACCATCACATGGTTTTTCAACTCGGTGCTAAATGTTTTTATCTGGAAAGTCCGGTGCACAGCCGTTTTCGTGTGGCGGGAAGTGTGCCCCTCCGGACGAGTTTTTGTAGGAATGCCGGAGTGCCGCATGATCCTCGGAATCTTGTGACTTCAGCTAGTGAGCCTGGCAGACACAATTTTCTTTGTTTAATCCAGGTATTGAGTGCAGCAGGAGGGACTTGGGAAGGGCCCTAGCTAGGACCTCGCCTGGTGGTTTCCAAGTCCAGAGCTGGTTTTCCCAGATCCCAGGGGCCAGGCGGGCAGAATGTGTATGTGGAAACCTCAGGGATGACCTTTACGTGCCTTAAAAATACTCTGTCTGGCAGCTGTTCATCGGTCCCCAGCGCTTCTACCTGTGTTCTCAGGTCACTCGAAGTCGTCTCTGATTTCAAAGACACATTTCTCTTTCCCGCTGTATTCAAGTTCTCCGTGCAGGGTTTGCCAGTGACAGCGAGGGTCAATCCGTTCTCAGTGTCAGACCCCTCAAATTCAGATGAATTATTTACTGGGCTGTACAAAGGAGCCGGGGTGATCACTGCCTGTGGGTTTTAGAATTCCTGCTTTTTCTTGCCAGGACTGAAAGGAGCGAGTGCAGACTCCCACCGACACAAAGAGTGACCTCAGCCCTGGAGAAGATAAGAAACACATTCAAGTGAAGAAGAGAGCCCGGCACAAAAGGCACGCTGGCTGCAAGCAGGCATGGAAAGCAGGGCTCTGTTGGGAAGCGCTGTGTCCGGGGGGTGGGGGTGGGGGGGACGCACTAGCTTAGTGACGGCTCTGGTCTCAAGCCAACCATGCCAAGTCCCGTCACCATCCTGAGCCTCCGTCTCCCGTGAGGAAAATTGGAATAATCGTACCTGCCACTCACAAGGATGTCGGGAGGACCAGGTGAGCGACATAGTGACGAAAGAGCCGTGTGTCACACGGTCACATAGGCATCATTTCCAAAGTATGGTTGCATGTTTTCTGCCCAAGTTACTTTGCAAAGTTCTCCCAATGCTTATAACGTAGTGGAGATGTACACGATGCTGAGACCCACTGGCTTGCGAATCATTTGGAAATGCAGGTGCATGATGTGCTCCTATTCATTTCATTTCACATTTTGGTACCATTTCTGTTAACCCAGTAATTTAGAGGGTGAAAATTACAAGCCTTGGATCAATGGTTGGGCCAGGAGAAAGCTGATGACAAGCACGGTGGCCGTGTTCTGAGTCCTCACACAGCACTCTCCTCTGCGGATGACTCCCTCTTGGCTTTTGGCACAGATGCCCCTTGAACAATCCTCCCACCCCACTCGAAAGCTATGGGAGGGAGGCTAAATGAGGAACTCTAATGTGAAACAGAACCATGGTCCCTGGCCTAGAACTGCACCCCCTCCTGCTGTAGACAGCAGCTAGGACTTAGACTGGGAATGTTGAATTCCACCTTTTGAGGCAATGGGAATGTTGAAGCTGAGAACGAAAACAAAGGAGAGGGGAAGACTTCAGAGATAATTTAGGCCAATATTCTCATTGGAGTGTTCAGACATGAGACCCATAGTCATTCCCTGTGATCCACACAGTGACGTGGGGCTTGCTGTTCCTTAAGCAGAACACTGTCTGTTCTCCCTGTGGTTCTCCCAGGATGTCAAGGACATTGTCAAGACCCAACTGATGGCAGCATGGTTCCCACGGGAAGGGCAACACACCAAGATTCAAGCCTGAGAGCCATGCTGGACACTCCCCAGTGAGTTACACCATGGAGCACCATCTTCAATTTGGAAGCTCCATGATAAAGACCGCAGGGAAGAAATTTGAGCAATAAAGAAATAAAATTAAATAAGGACAGCAAGGGAAGAGAGTAACCACTTGGCTCTTTGGGGGCTGTGAAGGACATTCCCTATGTCCAGACGGTCACCATTTGAACCAGCTCCTGCTGATGCCTGTCTCCACCCAGCAGTTCCTTCAAGATAGGTAGGTAGGTAGGTAGGTAGGTAGGTAGGTAGGTAGGATGGAAGGGAGGGAGGGAGGGAGGAAGGGAGGGTCTTTCCTATCAGCACAGCGCACCAAAGGATGGTGGGAAATGCAGGGCCCATGGAACTGCCCATCCCACTGCACTGAAACCAGCAGTGAAAGGTTGACTGATTATTGGATGACCACTGGTGACAGCCACATGCCATGGGCAGCATCAGCCGCAGTGGCTGTGCAGACTCCAAAGATCACCGAGGCTGTAGGTGGCTCTTCTCTCTCTCAAGGCCACAGGCAGGATCTGGGCTCCAACCAGTCCTTGCAGCCACAAGAGAAAGTGGTAGTGTGACCTTGTATAGGTTTCCATAATTCTTGGACCTTAGCCCTGGAAGGAAACGTCAGGACTGTCAGATCCAATCCCGCATCGCAAGAAGCAGGATGCAGAGGCCCAGGGGGAAGGAAAGAGCACAGCTGGGGGACAGGCCCCCAAACTAGCATGTGATTACAGACAAGCCCCTTCCCGTCAGCCTTCAGTTCCTTTGCCACCAAGCCCCTGGCTGCTCCCTGTCGGGCCTGTTGATCCAGGCTGTATGTGGACGGAGCAGATAGCAGCTCCCTGCCCAGGGCAGGCCTCCCCAGGAAAGGCAGCAGATCCTTTGCAGATGGAAGCCTCCTCCTGACTGGGCCGCTGAGGAGGGCTCGAGGGCAGGCTCACACCCCCTGTCCAACCTTGCAACCAGCGCTCCTCATTCTCAGCGGGGCCATCCCACCCCCATAGTCTGGTCACTGCACCGCCCAAGCTCAGCCTCCAAGTCAGAAGTCCCTGCTCCCTCGGGCACTCACAGCGCTGGCCCTGCAGTCTCGGGTGAACTGCAAACCACCCTCTGCCTCAGTGTCCCCATCTGTTTAAGAGGATGACAACAGGACCTTGTTTCATCTTCTGTGAAGATGGAAGGAGCTGGAACACGTAAAGGGCTTGGGACAGCCCAGCGCTGGACATGTGCTCAACAAACACCAGCTGCAGTCACCTGCAGGGTGTCACTTTTCACTCTGTTCACACATTTCATTACAAAGCACAGGGCCAGAAAGGGGGAAGCACTAACCGAAACCATATTTACTGCAAATAACCATCACTCCACAGAAAACAAGTTTCTGAATCCTTTGCTGTTTGTTTCTTAAACCAAATAGCTGAGTCAACTATAAAAGTTAGATCTCTGACCTTATTAATGTCCTGCAGAAATTCTATTTAATTTCCCTAAATTGGTCCCTAGGGTGGCTGACTAAAACTGTAACATTGTTAGCAATTGCTATCCAATGACACCAAATCAACATAAACAAGGTTTGAATGTGTTTAGTGTTGAAATATATGTGAAATTAATCTCTTATTTCTCCCTTGCCCCTGATACAACACGCAGGGCTGCATAGGATGCATAGGATGCGCAGTGAAGTATTTAAATAATGAATTATTCAAAAAGAAAAGGAACTGCAGGTACCTGATGCCAGAAATCCATGCCTGTGAATTCTTAATCTGTTCTCCAATGGGATTAGCATTTACGACTATGAAAGATGTCCTAATTATGCAGAGTTTCAGAGTTGATTTTCTGCAGGGCCTGCGCAGATCTAAAAAGCATTAGGCAACAATAAAACCGGATGACTATGAATTTCTGAATTCATAATTTGGTTTTCCTTTCAGGGGAAATGACATTTTTATTTATGAGCGCTTCACTCATCAGGTGGAAGCTGAGGTTTTCTCTCTCTTCTCAAAGGCACCATGCTCGCTGCAAGTGCATCTAAACCAGCAGCCTCTCAAAACAGATGTGTGGAATTCACAAGACTGTCGCACATAGGTCTGATGCAATGTAGGTCTCCCCCTCTTTCTTCCTCCCCCCCCCCCGACCCCTGCTGGGATTCTAGGACAAAACAGAAGGCTGAGAACGGCTGATTATGGGATCTTATACCTTTTAACCCAGTTAGGAAGGGAATGCCAGTTTGCTCGATGAACGTTACTACCTTGCAAGTCACTCAGCTGTGCTGGGCTATCACCCGGGTTATAGTGATGCAAAAGGTGTAATCATTTCCGTGATCAGTTACAGGTGCTCAATAAATATTTGTTCGGTGGCTGAATGAAATGAAAAGGTATCAGCTGTCTTTTCTCATAGGCATGCCTTTTCCTTGTCTTTCAATGGAAAATTTTTTTCTACTTCTTTAGACAATGTTGGGAACTATGATAATTTGACATGTCTGTGGCTTTCCAAGAGAAAGTAGCAAAAACCAGGCAGAAAACTGGAGCTAGTGACACAGACAATGTTGCCAATTCACCCACACGGACTCCTGTTCCTCCCCCTTCAGCAAGCAATCAATAATCATTCACTGAGCACCCACTGGGTGTTCAGTTCTGCCACAACTACTCCGATTACACATTCAAAGCCACTTCTAAAACCAAAGCTACCCACCTGTAGGGAGAAATCCTATATCCCTCCTTCAAGATCACTGAAAGGAGTGTGTTATTTGAAGACAATGAATGGGATTTTCATATTTTCCCTCCAATGTGTGAACAGATTTTTGAATAAAGAAAATCAATGACTTTGGTAGAAACTGTGCTTGATTTTAAAGCCATGTTTTGGTAAGCAAGAATGGGGGTGAAGATTAGGTTGAAATTTTAAAGAAACATCAAACTCAACTTGCCATTTACACCCCGGGTCAATTTTACCCAAAAGGAAACCCCGGAGTGTTGGCCCCCTGCCACTGCGCTCCCACGAACAAGGGATGCCAGGCGGGGATGGGGACAGCAAGCAGTGGGGTCTACTATGACCTGAGCATAGACGCTCCACTTTCTCCACGTGCACTTCTCACAAATGCATTCGTTGTCACTCCTGGCCATGTTTCCTTCCTTGTATGAATTAATTTTTCAATGAAAGTGTTGAACAAATTCTTGAAATGCAGCTTTTATCAGTAAAATGCATAAGCCCCATGGGAAAATGCAGAACGAGGGCCCACCAACGGTGCAGCCTCCACCGATCTCCCAGATCTGCCAGCTCAGATCCCTCCCTGTCACTGGGGCAGCAGGAAGATGGTGGCTGGGGTGGCAACCAGACTCTCACCCTCAGTGCAGAGTGGCCGGCCACCTGTGGGGATGAGGCCCAGATCCTCAGGCTTCAGTTGGCCTTCATCAAAAGAGAATGGCCTTCTACCTGCACATCCACCTGTCAGTCTGGCTCATATCCTGTGCTATGTGGTCCTGTCTCAGGCTGAGGAGGGGCTTTCT